GCATGCCGCATATTTAGAGATAACAACACCCCCACCAGCTGCTCTCCTAGGGCCCTGGGGGGCCCCCCCGGGGGCCCCCCCCGGGGGCCCCCCCCAACCCCATCGACCCACCCCCCCTCTCCCCCCTCAGCTCCTTCTCTCAGCAGCCTTTTAAACTCTAACAACGTCATTATATCCTCCTCCTGCTGCTGCTCCTGCTGCTGCTGCTCCTGCTGCTGCTGCTGCTGCTGCTGTTGATGGTAGTGGTGCAGCGGCTGCTGCTGCTGCTGCTGCTGCTGCTGCTCCCACTGCAGCACTGTTGATTCTATCCCCCATCGATCGCAGAGAGCTTCTAATTTATTTAAATAAGAAAAACGTTCTGCTGCTGCTGCTGTTATTGCTGTTGCTAGCTGCAGCTGCAGCGCGTGCTGCTGCAGCTCCTCTCTATCCTCATCATCATTCATTTGCTGCTGCTGCTGCTGCTGCAGCAGCGGACGCTTCTGCTGCTTCTGCTGCTGCTGCAGCAGCTGCTGCTGTTCCTTTTGCTGCAGCTTCTGCTGCATCTGCTGCTGCTGCTGCAGCAGCGTATCTACGTGCTGCTGATATATAGATAAGGTATTGGGGGGGGGCCCCTGGTGGGGCCCCCTAGCAGGCATGAAGCTTCTATCGAACGCCTCTCGTGCTGCAGCAGAAGCAGCAGCAAATTCTTTGTTTAGTGCAGCAGCAGCAGCAGCAAGCTCTTCTCCTAGCTGCTGCAGCCCCGCAGCATCTAGAGAAATTATACGAGAAGATGCATGCGTTCCTGCTGCTGCTGCTGCTGCTGCTGCTGCTGCTTGGCGTGCTGCATGCAAACGATAACCAAAAGACACAGACACAGCAAGCAGCAGTGCTGCTGCTGCTGCTGCTGATAGCCGCAGCCGCTGCTGCGTGCTTCGCACCCGGGGGCGCCGTAGCTGCAGCTCAGGAGGCTCCCATTCTGCTGCTGCTGCTGCTGCTGTTGCTGCTGCTGCTGCTGCTGCTGCATCGGTGTCTGCTGCAGCAAAAGGAGGCACTGAGTTGCTGCTGCTGCGGGAGAGCAGAGGGGGCCCCCCACGTCTGGGGGCCTCCGCTGCTGCTGCTGCTGCTGCAGCTGTTTCTGCGTAATTCATTTCTCTAAATATACAAAAAAAAATAATTAAAAAAATAATAAAAAATATATTACAAACGGCATCGCTCCCCCATCGATCCCGCTCACTGGGTCTATCGAGCAGTGGCTGGTGGTAGGGGGCAGCCAGCAGCAAAAGCAGCAGAAAAAGAGAAAAAAAAAAGAAATTATTAATTTAAATTAATTAATTTTTATATTTTTATTTATTTATTTGGATTTTATTCATCATTTGCACAAAAAACAAAAAAAAAAACAACAAAAAATATACACCGCCACCGCGTGAGCGATGGGGTGTATGTATCCCCACCTTTTTGCTGCTGCTATACATTCTTTTTGTTTTTTATTTATTTTTATTTATTTTTTATTTATTTTTATTTATTTATTTTTATTTATTTTTATTTATTTTTATTTAATATTTATATAAATAAATAATTTCTATTTGTATTTATTTATATTATTATATAATTTTATTTTTTGTATCGACTAATTCGTTATATGCTATATAATAAAAATGATAGAAAATAAATTCAAATAAAAAATAAAAAAAAATAAAAAAAATAAAAATATAGAAAACAAATTAAAATATATAATTTTATTGACGAAAAAAAATATAAATGTTAATAGTAAAGAAAATAAAATATAAGCAAAAAAGATATAATAAGTATAATCAATAAAGAAAATAAAATATAATAAATTATATTATTATAGAGAAAAGAGAAAAAATAAATAAATAATAATTGCATAGCTGCATTTGTTTTTGTTTTTTTGTTTTTATTCGGTTTATATTTATTGCTTTCTTTGCTTTTGTTTTTTTTGTTTTTTCTTAATTTTTGTTTTTGTTTTTTTGTTTGTTTTTT